GTTTTCTTTTTTCAGTCACTGAGCCATCAAAAAGGGTCCTGAAGTAATAGTTAAGGGGAAAAAAGCCTCTCAAGTGTATGTGCCTAAATCTTTCAGGATGAGGAAAGAAAGGCGAGAACAAGGTAGGAAACCAGAGACCCTGGATACTTGGGCCTGCTTGTGCCATATGGGCTCACTGGACAAAAGCCATATGGAGTGGAACAGATTGTTTCAGGCTGCAAAGTTGCCAGATCACAGGATTTCTGGGATTTCTCTCTAGTGCCTTGGGCAGGGTGCAAATTTAATTCTAAGCATATCCTAGCAATGGAATGTAAGCTATGTGTCCTTAGCCAAGGAAAGGAAAGGGTCTCATCTTTACCCATCTAATCTTGGCTATAACTCTAGAAGAGTAACTGATGAGGAAAAAAAATTAATGGCCAAAAGTTTCAAAAACCCATTATGTCATCTCTAGGGAACACATAATGGACAGAACAAATGAAGAGTCGAGATATATTTAAAACAAATCTTGTTTTAACCCAGTATTTCTGACACTTACTTGCTTCAGGATAGTTTTTGGCTTGTGTCTGGGGACATGTTGTTATGACATGATGGGCAACAAAGCCTCTTCTAGCACTGCCTGCACACACTTACCGCCCATCCCTCAGAGATGGGCAAATGAAAAGCAAGCCCCTTGCTGTTTTTAGAAAAAAGTGGATGCACGTGTTTCTAACTGGGGAGTTAAGCATCTTTTTCAATAACGTCAGTTGGCTATTGCTATTAATGGGACCTAAGCTTCTGCAGATTAGGTTCCTTTAGGAAAAAATGCTTTCTTACCAAATATGGATTTAGGCAACATAGACTCCGGTAAGGTTAGAAGTGCCCTCCTGCTAAAAAACTGAAGTTGTCAAAATGCAATCTTGACCTTCTACGAAAGCCCCAAACCTGAGCAATTCACCCAAATTTGGGAAAATATATGTTATCAGGCCATGGAATACTCAAGGCTTTCATATGTTGGCCACAGGAATGTGTCTGCCCTAAAGGAAATAAACGTACTCATGTTAAGTCTTCTCTTAACTTCCTCTGGGGGATTCTGGGAAGGCTCTGTGTCCACACTCAGGATGAAGCAGCACAGAGAACAGGATTGGCCACGAAATGGGGAATGAGCAGATCAGTGGTTCCAGACCTGAGAACTGGATCAGGCAATAACCAGAAGAGAGATGTGGAAGACTTGGTAAAGAAAACGGGGGTCAGGTGATTATGATGGAAACATCAGGACAATGAATCTGCAGCATCTGCAGCATCGGTAGCACAAATCCAATACAGACATTGCTCAGATAGTTCTCTGACATCTAAGGAAACAGCAATTGTTCTTAATGAAAACAGCATCTTGATAGAAATGCCTGTTATTCCACATGGCCAAGAATGACAGCGTAACTAGTAGTGGATATTTCCCAGTGTGCTGGGAGAATTCCAAAGGAAAGATAAAGGCAAGGAAAAATATGAATATGTAGAGGACAGTCTTTGAACCCCAAGTGCACTTGTAGATCCCCACCTTTGTTATTTCAGTGTCCATAAGAGACCTTGAACTCGTCTTCCCAGAATCACCTTAAAGTCAACAAAATACTAATACTGATTTCTCCAGTTCACTTGCAGTCCTCTATGAATTCTCATTAATACGGCATTAAATAAGCATGCATCTTTTTGAAAACAAAAACAAAAACAAAAACATCCCCCAGTAGTTGAAAAGGTTTACTCTTCTTCACCAAATAAGACATTCTAGAACCTAATTTCCTAGAAGATCCTTACTTCTAACAAAAAAACCCTCTCTTGTCCAATCCCAAACCTACTATGGATTTTCCACATTAAAATTTGCATTAGAGGCCTCGCTGGTGCTGCAGCAGTTAAAGACACAGTGCTATCAAGCCATAGCCAGTTACTGCAGCACAAGTTTGATCCAGGCCGGCCACAGAGCAACCCATGTGGCGCAGCAGACCTCTCTTGTCTCGCCCGCCGCTCCTCTCTGCTGTGATTCAATAGATCTGCCTGTTCTGCCCCCCACTGTCTCTGATGAATCCTCTCACCTCCCACACCTCTGGCCTACACCCCAGTTCTTGTATGCAAAAATGAAAAAATCTTGAAAAAATAAAATAAAATCAGCATTATAATTAACTGTCCTATGTAAAGAACAATAGAGAAATGGCTTACCAAATTGCACTGGATCATCTGACTATTAGAAAATAGCAATTCGTTAAATGCAATTTAAAATTAGCTGGATCCAAGACAAACTGCTTTCATGGTGGTTAACATTTAGGACACTATGAATATTAACGCAGGTTCACTTCTCACTGAGGAGTTCTATGGATCAATTTGCTTAAATTCAGAGGCTAAAACACATTTTTAAAATGTCAAACCTGCGTAGGCTATAAAGAAAGGGAGCCAGGTAAATGCAATTAGCAAAAATTGGAAGTTGGAGAAGTGAAATTTTGGCATTTGTATTTTGACCTCACGTAGAGATAAGTAAGGTTGTGAGTCAACTGAGCATAAGTACTTCAAGTCCAAGACTTCAAGTCCAAGTCCAAACACAGTTGTGCTATAGAAGCTTCTATGGGAAGCACCTGTGTGTTCAGCCTCTGACGGCATTAGCTGCCTCAGGCTTTCCAGGAAGAGGCTGATGGATGCGAAGAGTGATGGTATCCCTTATTTCAAAAACTGTATATAGGGCATGTACACTAACCATATAGTTTTTAATCCAGAATGAGTTATTTACAACTTCAGTAGTAATAAGTACTGTTTTCATTTAAAGAGACATGAACATATTCAAATTACACTTAAAGAGATATAATGATCAATTACATCTATTTTATACATTCCTGTGAGGTTTTTTATGGATTTTTCTACTTTTCCCAGACATTAAAAAATCTTAAGGGCCTCCCGGGTGGCGCAGCAGTTGAGCGCTGGGTTGCGAAGCTGCCCGCAGCCTCCTCAGCGCCGGCTCGATCTCCGGCCACCGGGAGAGGGTCCCACACGGCACACGGACCTCTCCTGCTGCCCACTGCTCCCCTCAGCAGTGTACCTCATCAGTCTGCCTGTTCTGTTCCCCGTTCTGGCTCTGGTGAATTCTCTCACCCTCCCACGCTTCTGACTGTACCCAGTGCTTGTACAAATAAATAAATCTTTTTTAAAAAAAATCTTCAAAATAAGCATTTAGATTATAAGGCCAATTAGTGGGTACCGGAAGGGGAGGAGCATGAGGTATAGGCTAACTGTATATAAGGGATCAACTGAATGGTGAAGGACAGGGTTGGCCTAATATGAACTGAATCAAGTATATATACATGTTGATTTTTAATGATGCGCACTTTAAACTTATAAAATATTATAAAGTAATGTTACTTCATTAAAAATAAAATAAAATAATAAAGTGGAGTGATGATCTATACTAAAATAAAAGTAGACTTTAAAATGTCTTTCCAATTCTTTCATGAAGACAACTTTAAAAAAGTCCTATGTCCTTGTACCTCGGTTATTTCAGGATGTTCTTTAAACTAGGTTCTTTAAACTACAACACTGAGCCTCCTGGGTGGTGCAAGGGATTAAGCACAGCACTATGAAGCTATCAGCAGCCTCTGCAACACAAGTTCAATCCCTGGCCTGCCAGGGAGCAACCCACATGGTGCAGCAGACCTCTCCTGTCTTGCCTGCTGCTCCCCTCAGCAGTGTATTTCAGTCAGTCTGCCTGTTCTGCTCCCCACTCTGTCTCTGGTGAATCCTCTCACCCCCCACCCCTGCACCTCTGGCCTATACCAGTTCTTGTATGCATAAATAAATAAATCTTTAAAAAAATAAATAAACTAGAACTACCTAGTTTAAAGGATGGATCAGGTTTAAGAACAAGATTCATTCCACTGAAGCCTATCGGTTGCATCTATTGATTGAGGCATGACAACAAAGAACGCTATAAAAGCATCCTCAATTGAAGTCTATAGAAAGGGTGTTTCTCAATATGTGTCAAAAGATTTTAAAATATACATTCTACTCTAGGAGCTCATCACAAGAAAACAATGATGGATTACCTAAGATGTTAGTAATTATAAACATTGTGAGCAACCAAAAGTTTTGGCAACAGGGAGTTGAGAATCTTAATTCTGGCACATTCAGACAAATGATAAAACAATCTGCCAGTCAATAAAAATCATGTTGGAGAAATGTCTTTATTTCAATGGAAAACTGTTTCCCTTTTTCTTAAAGCAAAAATGCAAGTTACAAAATAGAACATACAGTATTGAAAAATAGAATTATATGCATCAAGATGTCAAAATGGTTGATTTGGGGAGAGTGGAAGAATAGGTATTTTTACTTCTCTCTGTCTTTTCAGACTTTTCTGTAATGAGCACAAATTACTTTTGCAATTATGGGAGGGACAAACATTTTTAACAGTAAAAAAAAAAACTGAGCACTGCATGAGTTAGCTTTTTTTTTTTTTAAGGATGTATTTGCAGTCAGTATTTTAATTATACTGGCATTTTTAACTTGCCACGATGACTGAGGTAGCTGCTGGCACTTGGAAGGAAGCCTAATTTTCTCCACAGAACAGAGACATAAAACTACAGTCTTGCAGTTCCTAGTTTTTGCCCAAGAGGAAAAACTCTTCCAGGTTCAGTTATTGAAACCCTAGGGGAGTTTCTGATTGGCTTCATCCATGAAACAAGTCGCTGGGCCTCTGGTAGTAGCAACCTGATTAGCCCAACTTGGCCAAAGGCCTTCATTTTGACCAAAATATATGTAGAGACAAGTGGGATCATATAAAAGTATGAATTCCTTCTTTGGTCCACATGGGATAGAGACAACTGCTCACACAAAGAAAGGGGGTGTTATTCCCAGAAGGCAGGAGGAATGCCAAGAACACTAAGAATAAATAACCGTCATGCCAGGACACCCCCAAACCATTATTACTTTCCAAGTTTCAACAGACTCTCTTGTTCCGGGGTTCAAATTACAGCAGCAAAGCCTAAACTACAAACCTTGCTCCGTGAGCCAGCTGTCTTCTAACCAGATTCAGGCGGCGCCTGTCTCTGCATGTCTGGTTGTGAGTCACACACAGCTAGATCACACTACAGAAGGACAAAGAGCAAAGGTGCAGACAGAAAAGGAAAGTGGATTCTGCCAGGGGCATATACCTAGAATGAACATCCTGAAACATTCTAGACCATTCTAGAATGCCCATGTCTTCAAGGCAACAGTCAAGCCCATCAGCTGTAGCTGACCCTGAGGAGGGCTAGAGGCTTGCAGTGAGTGCTCATGTTCCAAACACAAGAATCTGATGGGGCTGGGGTGGGATGGGCTGGGGGTGGAGGTATGAGAAAAAGGAATGTCAGAAGAAATGTTCCAATGGTAAATACTAACTCCCTGTTCCTTCGTACCTAAGTAGAAGAGAGACTGTCTCTGTGTTTCTGTTTGCCCCCATTCCTTACAATCCCTCATTCACCTTTCCCGCTTTCTGGTTTTGTTGATATTCATATCATAGTTCTCAAAATACATTTTCCCTTGTTTACTCTCTGTCCTCCACTAGATTGTAACCTCCAAAAGGACAGGGATTTTACCTGTTCTGTTTACATCTGAATCCCCTAAAACCATGCCTGTAATGTAATAGGAACTCAGTGATATTTGTGAAACTGATTTGTTGAAGGACTCGATTCCCAAGAAAGTGACACAAACATACCTGTTTTCTTTCATGTGTGAGAAGCTACCTCGCATAATAATCCACTCTCCTCTCCAATTCATTCCTTCTCCGGAAAGGTGGACTGATGTAGTAATAGATGCATTTGGGACTAAAAAACAGGGCCTCTAGTCATGCTCAGGAACTGGCTTTGCCATCTCATAGCAAGCATGCCTTATGCCCTGACTGTGCTGCACCCGGGGCCAGCTGTGGCCCTGCACTGCCTAGGCTGGGGGCAGAAGTGCTTCCATCTGATTCCTGCAACTACCGATCCTATACCAATTTCAGCTTTCTCAGGAATAAAGGTGATATTTTTGTCCCATACTCGCCTGACCTTTTGTCTTATTTCTCTGTCAGTTCAGAACCATTCACTGGTCCCTGTCCAGTTTGAGCATTAAGTACTAATGGACTAATTAGTGAAAATGGGACTGTGACAAAGTAGCATATGGTACTACCCAAACTATGCTCTGACATGGGTTAGACACTCTAGGACACAGAGATGAAAACTCAGATTTGCATGTAAGAGTTTTTTTGTGGGGGGTGCCCACAGAAGCAGCCACCTGCCAGGGAGTGACGGGAGCAGGATGGGCAGGAGGAGGAGTTGAGCATTGATGCAGCAGGCTCCTCAGCCAGGCCACACAGAGCTCTGGCTGCCCTCTGACTAGCCACTGGATGCAGGCAGATTCCAGGCAGGGCATGCCTTTGGTCAAGGCCAAATTCCTGGGAAGACTCATCTGGGAGTCAGCAATAGTGCATTTTGGTCCTGAAGGAGAACCTGTAGGGGACCACAGAATCAATGTGCTTGCCACCCCATGGTTACGTGATGCTGGGTACAACAGCAATGGCAAATTAACTACAACATGGAGTGGAGAGGAGGTTTGTGAGAAATGTTTCGTCATCAGGACTGCAAAGGAGGAAAGTGAGCGAGGACACACCCAAGTGACATCACTTACCCGCTAATTCAGGTGGGTCAAGGAGGATGCTTCTTTTCTCTCCCCTGTTTCAGTAAGTGCCAATCCATTGAGGTGTGATCTGGATCCCCTTCCACCTGTGAAGTGGCTTGGAGAAAAGTCAGCTGGCCGGCAGCTTCTCTCACCCTGCAGAAGTCCAGTTGTCTACACGCATACACTGCTATAGCTTAGCTTCTCTGATGAATAAGAGTAATATTTTTTTTCTTTACGTTTCCAATTCTCCCCCAAATTTTGTACGTTGAAGTCCTAACCTTGGTACCTTATAATGTGCCCCTATTTCGAGATTAGGAGCTTTAAAAAGGTGGTTATGGGGCCTCCCCGGTGGCGCAGAGGTTGAGTGCTGGGTTGCAAAGCTGCCTGCAGCCTCCTCAGCGCCGGTTCGATCCCCGGCCTCTGGAAAGAGGGTCCCACATGGCGCGCAGACCTCTCCTGCCGCCTGCTGCTCCCCTCAGCAGTGTACTTCAGTCCTTCTGCCTGTTCTGTTCCCCGCTCTGGCTCTGGTGAATTCTCTCGCCCTCGAGCGCTTCTGACTGTACCCAGTTGTAGAGGCAGAACTGGACACAGAGCAGGTTTTCTGATCCCATGCAGACCGGGTAAAGGAGGAGTCAGAGTCCTTAGTGGGTTTTTGCAGGTCTTTTATTGGGGTTCACCAGGCATATGGCAGGCAGGGGTGCTGGCTGGGGGCTGGGAGGCTGGCAGGCCTCCCAGCCCCCAGCAAGTCTTCACTCTATCTGGGCTCTCTGGAGTTCGTTCTGCTGCTTCTCGGCTTCTCTTTCGGCTTCTGCTTCGGCTTCTACTGCTGCTGCTGGCGCCCCCCCATGACGCCGCCCTTAAAAGCACAGTCTTAGCTCAGCTGAATCCCATCTACCTAGGCCCACACCCTATTCCAGGTGCCCGCCATCAGGCATGCATTCAGGACAAGGATCCACCATCTATCCTGATGGCGGAAGGGCAGAAAAGCCTGTTATTTTCTTTACCCTACACCAGTGCTTGTACAAATAAATAAATAAATCTTTTAAAAATAAATAAATAAATAAATAGGTGGTTATGGTTAAGTAAGGTAATAAGGATGGGGCCCTTATCCAATATAACTGATGACTTTATAAGAAGAGGCTTCTTATAAAAGATGCACTTTATAAAGGCAAGATCAGAGCAAAAATGCAGCCATCTGCAGGTCAAGGCAAAAGGTCTCTGGAGAAACCAAACCTGCCCACACCTTGACCCTGGACTTTAGGAGCGTGAAATAATAAATTTCTGTTGTTTAAGCCACCTGGTCTACAGCATTTTGTTATGGTAGCTCTAGCAAATGAAGATGTAAATCTACATGCCAGTTTAAGATTTGATTTACCTGTATAAACACCAGGCTTACTGTGTTTACATTTACTGCCTCATTGACCACGAGGGAGCAAGCTATTGGTCAGGTGGGTACATTTTAAGAGCAGCACTCTGGAGGCAGCTCCCACCTGTCCTTCACTCCGTAATCTCAAGTCTTTCAACTCCTCAGAGCCTAAGTTGTCTGACCTGCCCAATGGGCTTCACACAGTGATGTTGTGTTTTGGCATCATGCCAATTAGTTCCCAGTGATGGGCCTCCCTGGTGGTGCAAGGGATTAAGCACAGCACTGTGAAGCTATCCACAGCCTCTACAACTCGAGTTTGATCCCTGGCTAGCCAGGGAGCTACCCACATGGCACAGTAGACCTCTCCTGTCTCACCTGCTGCTCCCCTCAGCAGTGTATTTCAGTAGATCTGCCTGTTTTGTTCCCCGCTCATCTCTGATGAATCCTCTCACCCCCACATCTCTGGCCTGTGCCCCAGTTCTTACATGCATAAATAAATAAATCTTTTTTTTTAAAGAAATTATTCTTAAAAAAAAATTAGTTTCTAGTGATGAGGTTGCATGGACCTCTCTTTCTGTTTCACAAAGCACTCAGGAGTCACCATTAGACCAGGAGTTCCTTTGTTTTTGTTTTTTGCAGGCTTTCAAAAAAGAATATAATTTGATGCCATTAACCCCAGATTTAAAAAAAAAAAAAACCAATTACCTTCCTCTCTGGGCGCTCACCTAGTTTACAGTGACATGGCCAAATGAACTAACAAGGTGGGGATCACTGGTAAATATGGGACCCGTTATGGTACCTCCCTTAGGAAAATGGTGAAGAAAATTGAAATCAGCCAGCACGCCAAGTACGTACACTTGCTCCTTTTGTGGCAAAATCAAGTGAAGAGGTGAGCTGTGGGGGTCTGGCGCTGTGGTTCCTGCATGAAAACGGTGGCTGGTGGTGCCTGGACCTACAACACCACTTCTGCAGTCACAGTGAAAAAGACTGAAGGAATTGAAAGACCAATAGAAATTCTACAATTTGGAACATTGCCAGCCTATAATAAATGGGTTAATTTATGTAAAAAAAAAAAATTAGCCTGTGGACTAGTTAGTTTGAAACAACTACATACTGACTGGCCAACGTGTCATTCTTTGGCACAAAAGTGCCTGCTGAATCTGCACGTGTTTGCATTAGTGTGACCGTTCTGGAGTAAGCATGCCTGGAGCGCTGCCGTCCCTGTGGGGAAGGCAGTGTCTGGGGGTCTGGAGTGTCCGGGGGTCTGGAGCAGTGCCTGGCTGTGAGAATGAGAATCGTCTTAGCTTTTGCTTAGCTCTTTCTAGTTGTCCTTGTCGTGGGTGTAGCTCTACAAATCTCTCAGCTCAGGCCTCTGAGTGTCTCTGTGCCTTCCTTGTTTAAATTGCTAGAATCAAAGATAACTGATACACAAAAAGAAACAGAAATATGAATCCACAAACTTTAAAGGTAATACCAACGGTATATTAATTTGATGGTTGCCTGCAATTTAACTATGTGAAGATCATAGATACAAGCAAATCATGAACTAATTTTATTGTGGCTCTTTTTTTTCACTCTGATGGTAAAAACTATTGAAGTATGATGACCAGATTTACAACATTAAAATAAAAGAGACATTTGGATGATTTAGAAGGTTTTCTCAGAAATCTTTTTACAAGTATACTAGTAATAATAATAAAACTCTAGGCCAGGGTAATTTATCAAAATGAACAATCTGGGAAAAGAAAAGAAGAAAACCAAAATTTATTGAACATCTTGTAATTTCTGGACCCTGTGCTCAGTGCTTTGCACATATGATCTAATCTAGTTCTCACAACAATTCAGTTGGGAAGGCATCATTAGCTTCATTAGAAAGACAAAGACTATATTAGGAAATAAATAATTTGTTTATGATTCCTCCATTTAAAGGAGGAAGAACTGGATTTTAAATCAATATCCTTTAGTCCAAGTTCTTAGATTTTAAATTAACGGCTGTATGGTTATTGGTGTCAAAGCAAAGTTTACAATCTTTTTTTTTTTAAGATTTATTTATTTATGCATATAAGAGCTGGGGTACAGGCCTGAGATGGGGGGTGGGGGCGAGCAGATTCACCATAGACAGAGTGGGGAACAGAACAGGCAGACT